CTCTCTACAAAGTTTTAAGTTTGATATTCGAAAACTATTTTTTCAGATGTTTCTTGAGATCTACATGCTGTGCATAATCCCAACTCAAAAGTGATCAATCAATGGGAGGCCTATCGTTGCAATTTTAATTTACTTTGTTGTTGAGATAATTTTTCAGCTGGATCGATATCTTCAGTGTTTGTTAAATTTATTTGTTCTTTAGCATTTGAATTCATTTCAATTTCAGATGTTTGGATTTGATTTGCTTGTGATGTAAGCTTATCAAATGTATGTTGTTCATCATAATTTGATAAGTCAATATGATGTTTTCGTTTTGCATGTCGTAATAGATGTCCAATTCGATGATATGTTGAACTACATATAGGACATGTTAAATTAGCTTTAGGTGGCATTGTTGTTGGATTTGATGATGAATCTCGTTCATCATCGTCATCATCATCATCATCATCGTCATCATCGTTATCGTCATCATCATCTTCATTATCAACATCTGATTCTGAATTATTATCAGCACCATTGATAAATATATTTGTTGGTGTTGATGGTGATACTGTTCGTTTAACTCGTTTAATTCCGGATGAATGTTCTAACAAGAAGACAAAAAAAATAAGTTTGTTTTCTTAGACATCTTTGACGAAAGAACATGTCATTATGTACAATTCCAAGAAAAACTTATCGAAAACTATCTCTACTAAGATCAAAATAAATATACTATGATTAATTCGATACTCATTCTTCTGTGACATTATTCTTCGTATATGACAATCAGATCGAATAAATTCAAAAAAATAGATAAAATCTTATTTGTTTTTGTGAAAATCATTGATTTTGTCAAGAAAAGTTTGTGCTAAAGCTTGATTCAAGGATTTAGTATGATTTTATTTTATCCGATGAAATAATCTTTTCATAATAAAAATGACAATCATACAAAATTAATTGATCCCATTTATAAACTCGATCATTATCAAAGCTATTCGAATTCGCCTTCGCAATGTAATACATTAAGAAGAGGCTATCATGAAAGAAAAAAGCTTTTTTTTATCGAATACCTGTTGTCGATTTAATACCATTCAATGAAGATTGAGACTAGATAAACATAGATAATATCCAAACGATGAAAAATGAACGAGATGAAAGCATATAAGTTACCTGTTCGTCATCAGGCGCCTCACGTTTACTGGCCTTGTTGATAATGTTTGATGATGGTGAAGATTGTGTTAGTAGTAGTGGTGCATCTTGACATCCGTGCCCGTGTGCACCTAAAGATATATGCATAAATATGTATAGAATAGACCAAGGTGACAATAAATTTTGTTCATACTTGTCAAATGATTTTCAAGTGCTTCTAAATTGTCTGAATTGAACGGACAATAGATGCAGATATAAGCAGTGGAAGCATCGTTAGTCATCACCGGTGCTTGAAAACAACGGAAAAAAAAAAGAAAAATGTATAAAACAAAAAATAAATATAAGCTATATGGATCAATAGCGATTCATTCAAATGATATATATGTATAGTTATGTGCACATGTCAACTTTGATTGATCATCATTTGATGTATATTCGTTTACGATCTATTCGTTGATAAATATTTCGTTTGATTTCTCTTCATCGTCTTTCTTTTTTCTTTCTTCAATAACAACAACATCATTTTTTGTTACATACAGGTGTATTTTATACATAAGAGCTCGGCAAGCTTATTATAGAGAACAGAATACAAATCATATTTATTAAAATTAAGTTTTCTCTTGTCAATTGATCAATAACGAATTGTCATCATACTTTTTTGTTGGAAAAAAACTATGATACAAATACAAAAATCTTATCCCACGATTGTCTCAAATAAGTATCGTACTTCTGGTTATATTTGATGGTTAACTTTATTTTCTTACCTTATTTATGATGTATAATAATTGTGACAATATTACTAACATCAAACTGATGGAAAAGAACTGAAATCACTAAAATCTAAAACTAGACAAAAGATAAGAAATAATAAAAGTGAAATCTACTATCATGATCCTGTAAATAAATGTATGTCGGTACAGGTAAAATCCAATATGAAATGATGATTGGATATCAATAGTCATGTTTGACTTAACGAAAGCTTCATAAGATTTGTGATAAATGTCTATATGGACGTGTATTCAATGTTGATGGGCACGTATAGATAAGACAAAAAAAAAAAAAAAAGAAAAAAACATCTTTTTTTACATCTTCGTTTTTCTCGTATCCTGTAACAAGAAAGAAAAACGACGTAAGGCGCAACATTCTTCTCTTCTTCTTCATTATACACATTCAATACTCAATTTCTTTGCGTCTTTCGTTCTCTCTCTCTGTCTCTCTCTGTCTCTGTTCGTCTTCTTTCGACGTGCACATACATCTACATGTAGTATTGGTGTGATTATAGAACATGTCAGGCAGAGAAGAGAGAAGAAGAAGAAGAAGAAAGGATGCGCGCCTATAGCACATATGATGCGCTTGTGCACACGCAGTTTTTTGAAAAACGAAGAAGAGAGACAGCGAGAGAGAGAGACGAGCGCATCGAAGGCGAAAGACGAAGGCCAAAGACGTGTGTGTACATACGTACATCATCGCCCACTTCCCATCGTGATCTTCCAATCATCATCTTCTTTTCTCATCACACTTATAAAGCAATTTCAAGAGAAAAAGGTGTGATACAAAATGCAGCATTTTTTTTGTCATCTATTACGCAGACAATAACCGAAGAAGACACGATCAGTGAAAGAAATCGATTTCTCACACATACATACATTTACCGACATTGTAATGGGTTCGACTTTTACCTTTATATGAATATATGTATATACAAATATTCGTACACATGCCATCACCATTACACTTTTATATGTGGAAAAAAGTAAATTGGCCATGAAAATGAATATTAAATTTTAGAAAATAATGAGAGCTTTTCTACTTCCGAAGGAAAAAAGAACTTACGACGAAAAATTGTTTTTTTTTTTCTTCTTTTTAATATATCAATATTAATAAGTAATAACATTATATGGCCAAAATGTAACAAACAGAACTTTCAACAAGGTTCTATATTCAAGGAAGAGAACTACTTACGAGAATAAGACATTACATCAATTTTAGTTTATCAACTATTCAACAAAATCGTATATTTGTTTCGTCTTCTATCTATCTCAAGTTATATGTGAAACCGAGAGAGAGAGAGAGAGCAAGAAAAAAAGAAAGGGTTTAGATTTTAGTCTTTTTTCTCTTTTAAATTCAAATATATAATCGGTAGCGATAGTAGTAAGTCACTATATGCAAGGAAGAGAGAAGAATGAAGAGAAGGATAAAAGATTTTTACATGACGAGAATATGCGCAGATGTACTTCATTTAAAAGCGGAGTATATAGATATATACTAAGGAGATTTAGTGGTTCTATGTTCGAAGGCAAAGTGGGGGATCGAAGCACAGATGGTTCGAGAATGGAAAATGTGAAATGAAAAAAAAAACAGGGAAAGAGAAAAGAAAGTGAAGAAGAAAAGAGAAATACGAGACTGATTTTAGTAAGTGTATGGCTGCAGATGGTAGTGGAAGAATTCGTACGTTCTGCTCGTTCGATAATAGAGAGATTCTTGACGGCAGTATTTCTGCCTCGTTTTTATTTTGTCTGTATATGTGTATGTCTCTTTCTCTATGTCTGTATTTATTAAAAAATGCTAACGAAAAGAATCAACGCGAATAAGTATAAGAATAGTTTTCTTTATATACTATACTCAGCATCTTGGTTCTTTACTAGTTACAAAAAACTATGTAGATATAAAATAACTAAAAGAACAGATCAATTCTGATAAAATCATGTCGGTCAAAGACTTCTTCGTTTTTTTTTTGCTTTTTCACATCATGATGTATTACTATGTATTTGATAGGCTCTATCTCGTCTGACGAATATGAATATTAACATCAATCGTTTACGTATGTGCGTCTAAATATGAAAAAAAAAGAGAAAAAAAATGCAGTATACGAACGCGAAAGTGGATGCATGGATGGTTGACTGAGAAGAATTATAATGATTTACTTAAGATTTTGCTCCACCTATCGCAATACTTCTATGCATGAAGGAAGAGAGCAAAGGTACTTACTATCGAAGAGAAGAAACGCGAGAGTTTTATGCTCTGTCGATTCAAAAAGGGTATATACGTATGTGACCAAGCAAAAAAAAGGAAGCAGGCAATGACTAGGGATTAAGTTCATGTGCACACAAGTGAATTTTATATAATGCTAGTTCTCCTTCTTTACTTTTTTTTCTCTTCTGCATATGTATAATATTCATCGAGCGTCAAAAATATTGTATAAAATGTTATGAAGAGATGATGATGAATATTGTAAAAGCAACCAAAAGAATTTGTCGATATATAACGTTGTTGAAAGCGCAAGACACTATTCTCGAATTATATATATATATATGCATATTTGCTTATTTCTTCTCTTTTTCCTTCGGTTTCTCTCGTCTTCCTACATCAATCGATAATCGTCCGGATGAATGAGTTTCATGTAGGTTACGCATATTGATCCAGGTAGATGTGCGTATGCATCTGAGTGTATATTCGACCAATAAATTAACAGAAACCTTCGCATTTTGTTATACATACCTACATGTTCTGTCTATTGCTTTTAATATTTGATGAATTGATAAAATGTAATGGAACATTTTCTTTTTTTTTTCGTTTATGCTGGAACTTATGTTTATAAAGTAGAACTATAGAAGAAGTGCTCAGCATAGAATACCATTGAAGGGAAGCAAAGAAAAAAAAAACAAAATGACGAGAGGAAGTTTGGAACATGTACATTGACACACACACAAAACAAATACGCTTGTTGTTTTTTGACAGAACTCACAAATAGAAGAAAATCAAAAGAAATAATATAAATCTCAAGTTTGACAAATACGAAGAGCAAGAGAACACATGAAAAGCAACGACAAGTTCATTACTATAATAAACAAATAGACAAGAAAATAATTGATTTAATAACGTCGTTGTGATAAAGGTTGTGTAACAACATAATGTTGTTCATAGGCACGTGGTTGACCCGTTGGATGAAGGACAAGTCCACCAGTCGGTGGAACTTGTTGTGTTACATAGGCTGTTGTATGATGAAGAGATGTTGGTGGTGGTGCTAATGGTGCATGTTGTTGAGATGTTGGAAGAGCGTTTACAGGTATACCAGGGTGACTGTACAAATGAGTTTGACTCGTTGCACTGCCACGAGATGATGGAGGTGGTGGTGGTGGTGGTTGATTGGATGGAAGAATAGGAATACGTTGATTGCTAGCCACATTAGCACGAGATCGATCATGCGATGATGATAATCCTTGTGGATGATGAGACGGAAGTGATGGAGGTGGTACTTGTTGAGAAACATGTGGCCAACCGTATGGGTCTACAACAGGTGCATGAGAAGCAGCTATGAAAAAAAAAACGTATAATTCGAATAAAAACATAACTAGCAAGAGAATCAATCGAACTGATACTTGTCGTTTGAGCTCACATCGAGCCTACAAAAATGCTATGATCAAACTAAGAGTTCGTCTTCGCACGTGTTTCTGAAGCTGAGTGAGAATCATTTTATTGAATTCTCGATCAAGTTTTAACTATATATCGAAAAATCAAAATGCATTATTTCGATGTTAAATTTCGTCTATCAATAAGTGTAATGACTCATAGAATATTATGAAAGCATCAACCGAAAAGAATATAATTTTGCTCATACATCGAATTTTCAAGTAAAGTCAAGTTTTTATGTCATACCAATGGCAAACGATTATTATTTTAGAAATTCGATATTTCGATAAAATTATATTGTTTTCATCTGGAGTTTTTAGGATATTGTACGAGCTATTTGGCTTACATATGAGCGACATTCATTTCTTTTGACTGATCAACATGCATCTAAAATTAAGTCAGAAATTCAGTAAAACGATTCTAACTAGACTTCAAAAGCCTATAGAAGGACGAGCCTTTTAAAGATTTTTCTATTTCTACTGAACCGTTCTAGCTGACCCAATATGAGCTCAAACAGCTGGTATCGATTCAGATGGTTATCTCGTAACAAAAAAAATTTACTAACTTTTAACTGGCAAATCAGGATGATGATGTTGTTGCCGTGATGGAGGTGCTGCTGACCACAAGCCTTGTTGTTGTTGTTGTTGAGCTGATTGAGATGTGTCAGAAATGTATTGAGTAGGTAAATATTTGTGAGTGTCTAAAATAAAATTAATCATATTTTATTATTATTATTGCAAAATTTAATCTCAAATCTTTCTAATCTCAAACGTATAAATTACAAAAAACATATTAAAACAATACTTATTTACCATCAGCATAATGTGTAGTATCACGAGGTTTTGGTCGTTCCCAATGTGTTGTTTCCATTGATTCACGACGTAATGTATTATTTGTCGGTGGTGATCTATCACGACGTGGTGCTTGCTGTATATATTCTCGATCATCAAATCGTTCACGTGAATGTGGACGTCGAAGAATTGCATTAGTATTGTTTGGTGGTGAAGCAACATTTCGAGAAGAACGTTCATAAGCTGTACTAACAGATGATGTAGGTGGTAAAGCCATATCACGTCCACGTTGTGGTAATGTATTATAAGGATCTGATAGACGATGTTGATTAGATGATGAAGAAATATATCGTTGATTGTTATTACTTGAATTTATTGATGACAAAGAACTAAGACCAAGACTAGAAGTCGATGGTGGATGATCAGATTCACGATAAACAACACGATCACGACTAAAAATTATCAATTAAAAGAAATATGTTTAAAGTAAGTCCTAGATATATTTCTTACAACATCGGTTCACGTTGATTCTTTGTATATGGTCGTTTTGGTTCTGGATAATAATCACGATTAGTATCATCAAGTGATCGATCACGTCCACGTCCACTTGTTGTATTTGTTGATATTCGATGATCATATCCTTTATTTGAATTATTAATATTATTTGTATTTGTGTGATGTGAACGTTGTGGTTCATGATGTGATGAACGTGGACGTTTATTATCATTATGTGTTGACATACGATGTAATTTTTCATCACGTAATTTAGCTTCAGCTTGTTGTTGTTGTTGTTGTCGATGTTTGGCTTCATCAACTAAACGTCTTTGTTGTTTTTCAAGTTCTCGTGCTTGATCTTGTTTGTCTTTTTCTAATGCAAGTCGTTTACGTTCGATTTCTAAACGTTCACGTTCAAGAACTAGAATACAAAAATATTTAATAAATATTCATTAGAATTAAAGATTTTTTTTATTACTTTCAAATTCACGTCTCATTCGTGCACGTTCGTCAGCTAAACGTCGTTGTTGCTCTTTAATATTTTCTTCTTCTTGGTGTTGAACATATTGTTTTCGTACAAGTAATTCTTTTTCATGTCGTAAACGTTCTTCATTTTGATAAGTTGAACGACGATCAGTATCAAATGTTTTTGATGATGTTGAATGATAAGTAGTATCTTTTAACTAAAAAAACAAAGCAAAAAAATTATTTTATTTAATTTTTACTTTTCAAATTATAAAATTCTAGATATACATAAGGTTCTTTTGGTTTATCATATTTATTTGATATCATATAAGATGACGTATGTTGTTTAGATTTATCAATTGAAGATGAACGATGATGATCAGGCTTTGTTGTTGATGGAATATAATGTTTTTCACTTGAATGACTTCGACGTGTTACAGGTGATGATGATGCCTTCGATTTTGAAATATATGTAGAATGTGTTGATGATTTTTCAGATCTATTTGAATGTTTATCATTTTTACGATCATTTGTAGTCGATTTGTGAGAAGATTCTAAGAAAAAAGATTTAATCAAAACTTTTATTCGTTATTTATATTTAGTAATCCTGATAGTTTTTGGAAGTGGCAGGAAAACAAAAATATTGACAGACAATTGAAACCTATTCGTCTGGTAGAAAGGATTTGAGAAAAACTGTGTTCTCAAACTCCCCAGACGGGACATAAAAAGTGAAGCAAAAAATATTAGCACGATTGGCTCAAGGACAATTTTTTTTAGAGGAAGCCATATAGTACATGTTATTTTGCTGATATTCATATGAGTAATAAAGTTGCATTGAAAAACTCTACAAAATGAAGGCAGTTATGAAAAGCAATTGCATCTGATCGCTTTATTGGTGCACTGCCTATGCAGTGTAGCCCATTCTATAGCAAGACCTATGTAAATATTTTTATATTAAATGTATTAGAAACAAATCTCAATAAGACTATTAATAAAAACAACATATACATAATAGTCCAGTTCGGTAAATTTAAATAAATACAGCAAAAATAAGCTATATTATTCTTAATCGTTTAGTTTTAAAGCTATGATTCATCGCATGTATAAAAAAAATGTTAAAAGAAACTAAAATCTTTTATATATCCTAATAATAAATACAGATACTAAAAACAACGTTATTATGAAAGATGTCATGATGAAGATTACCAAAGTGTAAGTCATTGTTACGAATTTGATATAGTTATTCAAATATCAGTGTTCGAGTCGATCAGAGTACATTGCATATATTGCAATCATAAGTGGTGTTTATTATTATTTTAATATATTCTCACTAAGGAAGTTAGCAGCATTAAAAAAAAACTATTAACACAATATGTTCATTGCAGTATCTGTCATGAAACGAATAATTTCTCTATCATCAAAATAAATGAAAGACAGATCAAACTACTCAATACACAAAGAAGTCATAAAAGAGCTTAATCTGTAGTAATCAACAATTAATAGAAGCAGTCATCTATACTTGAAATTATATTCCTAATTAGCATTAGTGTTTCACTGTTAACCATTGTAATTAAACATGAACATGAAAAAAAAAACTATTCAAAGAACCATGGAATTTGTTCGAGCGGAAGATTATGATTTCATTATGTTTCTTCAAAAAAAAACAAAATAATCATAAACTATTGATATAATACCTAATTTTTCGCTTGTTTTTGGAACATCTGCACGAGATATATGATATTTTGTTGATTGACTGTTACTACTACTCGACGAAGTTCGTTGTTTTTCATTATAGGATTCGTTTGGTTTTTTATTCAACGAATCAGTTTCATATGATTTAACTGTTATGTCATCATTATTTGCTTTGTTTATATCGGATGTTGATAGTTTTTTTTTATTTTCATTAGATGTTGATGCTGATCGTTTTTTCGATGATACATTTGTTTCTACTGTCGATGGTTTATCTTGATTATCTATGATTGAATCACGATTTTTATATGAATCATTTGTAGATGATTTATGACTTGATTGATCTGATCGTTTTTTTTGTGCACTTGATGATGTATCACGTGATGATATTTGACGATTAGATGATGTTGATCTACTATTTGATTTGGATTTTGAAGATGATGAATCCGATGTTTGATCATGCATTTCCTACAAATTCGGAAATGAATTTTGGGAAAAAAAAATATACGCGAAAATATTCGTTTTTCTTTCATTCTAATTTACATGTGATTGTTCATAAATGTTATCAAATTTCTTAAGAAAACCTATGAGAACAATTCTTGTAAAATTAAAATGTAAAATACGATGTAGCTGTTGTTGCTAAGTATAAGAAGATTGTTTTATTCAATCTATTTTGAGACACATGTCTTCATCATCATTTTTGCTTAATCTTCCAGATATGGAATAAGAAAGTAGTTCATATGTTATCATAAGATGTTATTGATGTACGGTTTGTGAGAGAAAGGGTTTGAGCCTAAACTTACACAGACATACTTTAACATTCCTTTTAGATTGTGTTTTACAAAATAAAGCTCAAAGGATATGCCATCTGTTCAGAGCTTAAAGTAGCGATATATATACTCGACGATACGTCTCATCCTACTACTTGACTAAAAAAATATGCCATGTTATTTTATTTAATTGAATTAAAATTAGGCAAATGATGCATTGCAGAATCGAAAAGGGTACGGTTTTTCCTTAATATGGTATCGGGGTAGAGATAGCTCGATAGAGCTGGATTAGTTGGTATACCGAAGTGAGTTATGCTTCATTTTTCTGATCCTCTGAACATCAAATTAACTCCGCGATGAGTCATATGTGCATCCTAATGACCACAATAGTTTTTTTTTTATCTATTGGCGAATAAACGGCTCCATAAAATTACACACTCTATATCAGCTTTTCGCCTTCATCAATTGTTTCTCAGACAAGGACGGTATTAATCAATCTTATATTTAATCTACATCCCACATTATATACGCCGCATTATCTCTTATGTTTGTGCGAAATATATTCTATAAATAGTAGAAGAAATATCAGTAAATCTATCTATCAATGACAAAATGGTTGCAAATCTATACCGTTGTTGGATACTTCCATGGGTAGTCAACCGCAAAAAAAACACAAGGTTTTCAGAAGATTTTTTCGTGTGTAGAACTCGTTGCGCTAATTATTTTGATGAAACAAAAAACATTAGAATTTACTCAATAAGCCATGGTGCATAGGTCAAAATACTCGAAAACATCAGCTACCGGTGAACAACAGTCAGGAGTATTTCTGTTTGAGCATTACGATTTATGAGTAAATTTGAATATTTTTTTTCAATCAAAATAATCAGCACGATAGTACATTTCGCAAGCACTTCGTCGCTGATAGTATGACAAACTACAACACTGAAAAATTGTTCAAATTTGTTTTTGTAATAAAATTCGATATGAAAGTGAGTTGATAAAACTTGATAACGAGGAAAAAAAACATTTTTATACTCCAACAAATTCATGTCAGGCAGAAAAGACGTTTACAACTCTGATCCATCGATAGTTACGAGGGAACCACTCGAATTGATATTTCGAGTTCGAGATGAGATCTCAGTCATATCTAGAACCTGTGGATACTAGAAGAAACCTAGAAAATCAGTAGAATCGCCTAAGACCTAGATTTTACGTCCATTTGTACGAATATCATCAATTTGCTTTTGTCGATTTGATATCTCGAGAAGAGACCACTGTTTTCGGCTGAAATTTTTAGGAAATTCTAATGATTTTAACAGCTGTCTATGGATAAAGCTTTAGGCCACATTTTATTTCCTCGATTTTTTTTATAGAAATATTGCGTCAAGAGTAAAAAATCCAGTGTAACGATCATAACTTCAAAATGGTAGTACATGCAGAATAATCCTTCTAGTTTCAACAGGTCCTACATAATGACTGGAGTCTCATCTCTAACACTAGATACCATTTCGGATGGTTCCCTCGTTAGCAAACATGCAACTAGAAATTTTTCATTTACTTTGTTTAATTTTAATAGTGAAAATATTTAAATCTCATAAACTTACTCGATCAACATAAATTTTTTTTCCATGTAGTTCTGTTTGATGTAATGCTTGAATACATTTTTCAACATCTTCTCGTGTAGCTAAATGAATATATCCAAACCATTGTGATGAACTTGATCCAATAACTTTCGTTGTTAAAACCTATTTTGAATAAGACAAAAGAATAAAAACTAAAATTTGAAAAACAAAATAAATATTTACTTTTCCATATTTTGAAAATAATGCTTTTAAATCAGACGCATGAGTTTCTTTGGCAATATTTGATACCCAAAGATAACAATCATCTAATTGAGAGAAAAAAAAAACGTTTTAGTATATATAGAAAATCGCTGTTCTTTTTTTTTTACCTTTATTCGATTTATTAGTATTATCTTTCTTTTGTTGTTCATCTGATAATTCTTGTCGATTAGTTTCGCTGATAATTGAAGAAAGAAAATTATAAAATTTAAATGAATTTTGAATAAATATTAAACAAAATAATAAATCGCGCAACAAAAATAATAATAAACAAAAAAGGAAAGAAACAACGAAACCAATTCGATAAAAATAAATAAATAAACGATGAATTCTTTGTTATTGTTGTTGTTGTCGTTGTTGTTGAAATTAAAAAGAAAACATACATTTTTTGTCATTTGAAATGATAAACTTTTCGTCGTTGATTCGTTGTACAATATATATACAGATAAAACAAACACAACTATACTCACATATAAACTTTACTTTTTCTTTTTTCTTATCAAGTAATTAGAATATAGACGAAATCGATTGATTACCTTTTCGATAGATTATCATTCTCAGTCGAAAGATCTGTTGTAGTTGTAGTTGTTGTTGTTGTTGTTGACGTATGTTGTTCATCTTCACCATTTGAATGTTCGAATGATGTTTGTTGTTGTGTTGCTGTTGTTGGTGTTGGTGGTATTGATTCTGTATTATGATTAAAATTTTTTTTATTTGTTGATTGTCCTATTTGATTATTTGTATCTAATTCTTCATCGGATGATGAACAGGATACTTGTATAAGACCGTGATCAATTTTATCATTAGTATTTTCATCTTCTTGATTTGTTAGTAATTGTTCAATTGTTAAATCTTTATTATTATTATCACAGTTGTCAACAATTTGTTTCAAATCAATTGTATCCATACGATTTGTTTGATCATTTTGTTCATCGTCTATATCTTTTGTTAATGATGTTGTTGTTGAAATTTTCATCGGTGGTGGTGATGATGATGGTGTTGTTGTTGTTGTTTGCACTTTGAAACAATATGGATTTATTTTTTTCAAGTTTTTTTTTTTCACTACTGACTACAAATCAATGTATAACTATTTTGGACAGCAGAATTTCTTTTTCTTTTTCTTTTATCACCTATTTGATATTATTCTCCTAGGGATTACTTTTTTTTTTTTGTCTATATGTGCAATTAAATAACACACGGAAATAACTTAATTAGTACATATATGTATAAAAGACGAAATAAGGAGAAAAAACATAGAAGATAGAGAATATTGGTTTATTGTAATTGTGTATGTTAGCATGACTATTTTATAATATAAAGAACTTTTTTTTTTATTCTCTAATTCTCACCTGGATTTTCAGTATTTAATTGTTGTTTCGTATCGACCTAAAGAATGACAAAAAAAAACAAGAAAATTAATTATGAATATAAATCAAATTCGATTTAATGTTAAAGAAAAACAAGCCAAGCCCATCACATCGGATGTTTCCTGGGCTATACTAACAAGCCTTTGTAAACTTCCCATGATGTACACAACAAAAACTTCCCATGATGTACACAACAAAAAATTCACATATATTGCTGAAAACGAATGCTCACAATGAATGGTTATCGATGCCTTAGCGGAATATTCAGTAGTAGTAAATATCAGAATAGAATTTAAGTGAAATATGTAGTCAATGATCGAAATCTTTTCGGAACGAACTTAAACTTTGATTCGAAAGTATGAAGCGAAGAAAATACATGAATGAATTCTCTATTAGTTATCGCGATTTGATGAGAATAGAAAAAAAAAAGTCGAAGTTATTTTCTTTTTTGTTTCATTTAAAAATACATTACAGAACAATGCTAATTTTCAGTCTAATATGAATTTAACGCAAAGTGAAAGAAATATCAATTTATTTATATGTAAAATGTACTTTAAGTACAAAATATACTGTCTATTTGATGATGTTATGTCAATATGCTTAAATTTCAACAATCGAATATGTTTACCAAGAAATCTATAGTATGAAATAGAAGACAACAATGAAAATGACTTTATGAATAACACTAACTAAAAATACTTTTTATTTAATGAGTTTATCCTACATAGATAAAGATGTATAATGTTGCTATAAATACTGACAATGAGTCATCGGTGCAGAATACATTGATTACACTAGCATCTGTATTTACTGCAATAGTGAAATACCAACTATTAAAAATAACCCTTTTTATAGCGGTGTACTCTGACCCTTCACTAGACATTGGCACCAAGGTGTATTAACTACATTAAGTCAGTGATTGGTAAATAGACACTGTACAATCCTATATGCAGAATTTAAATTTTTTTAAAAAAATGTCAGTTTAGTTTCCAGACTGATTATACAAAGAGGATGACTATGAGCAAAACTGTCAAAAAATACAATTATGATTTGATATAGAGTTTTTTCTCCTAAGATATTTATTGATAAAGAAAACAAACCTCCATAGTTGATGTTTCTGAACTATTTGTATCATGGAAACTATTTTCTTCATGACTCTAGAAAATAAAAAAAAAGAAAATATGAAAGAAAATTTTAAGAAGATTTTATATACTTACTCGATTATTATCATCTGATGATATTGATTTAAGATCAGTAGACGTATCAAAAAGATAATTATCAGGATCAAGATTTCGATTAAGTAAAGCCTAAAATAATTTATCATAAACATTGTATAATAGAAAAGCCAAAGCAAAAAAAAAAAAAGAATCATTACTTGACGTAGTTTTTCAACAAGGGATCCTTTAAGTTCTTTTTTATCATAAGAAATATTAAATGAACGAAGTTCACGTTGTAAATCAACAACACGTAAATCATTTAATTTACGTTGTTTGACTGAATTTGTTGTTGATGTCATTGACATGTTTCAATTTATTGATATTAAAGACAAAATAAATATATGCACATCTAAAAAGAAGTTTCTTTTTCTCTTCAATTTATTTTATGGTATTCGTCTATTAATCATAGATATTATTGATGACAACAATTAAAGGCATTTGTGTTTTTGTTTATTATCAAGTACATGAGTATATGCATAGCAATTCATCCATTTTGAATACAATCATACCTCTGATAAGATAGATGACGCTAATGTTCGATTTCTTATATAGTTTTACTTGATAGAAAATCTTAGTCGATATTAAGTTTTAATGTAGATCATGCACAAGTGTGTCGCTATTATTTGACATTTACTAATGAGATGATTTTGAATAATAGTGTTAGTAGATAATCTTTTGTTATCATGCTTTTTCTATATGATAAAAACAATGTGAAAGAAAAATAGAATGGATACATTTAATTGTGTTAACACTGTCTTCTTCACTTTACTCTTGGCTTTAACAGCATTCATGCTATCCTGTATATTATCAATAATACCAGCAGATTTTTGAAAACATAATAAAATAGAAAATCTAGTTGATCAAAAAACAAAAAGAAAATAATCCTCAAAGAAATCCTTGAAATACGAATCATCAACACATTTTATAAATAGAGAAAAGGTTCGAATATGATAACTTACAAGAAGATACAAGAATTAAAGAAATTTTCAAAACGTTGTTTATGATTAACAATCAAAAGTGTATTACTCAATATATTAAATTCTACAAAATCTATCATCATATCAATTTTTTCATTTGAAAAATTTTCGCGCGTATTTAATAATTCTGTTTTTAATGGGGAATTTCAAACAGATCAAATTATTATCTAAAAAAATTATTGAACTTTTAAAACGACTTAGAGGCATTGTGAAGTAATTAAATTCTTTCATGGAATCATTTGAAACATTTTAATTATCAAGTCACTTCAGATAATGAATATTGTTGACGAAACAATTTATAATTTACTTAATCATTTACCTAAATGTTCATCTTCTCAATCGACTAATTCAAAGTAAAAAATTTTATATATAGGATATACCCTAAAAAAAGAAAAAAATTACTCTCTTATCAAAAGTAATTTCTATACTTATATAAGATTTAGTTTTTCAATGAATTTCTTTCGAAATAGAGAAAACTAAAACAAAACGGTACTAAATAAAACCGTTGTTTTTTTTAAACAGATTCTATCGTAAACGTAGAGAGAAAAATAATTTATTCCGGAATGAAATTATATTTTCTCGATTTTGGGCTTTTGTAAAAATTTAATAATGAAACAGTAACATGATTGGAAATTTTCTCGCTACGTTTCTAGACGTTCACAGTTAACGTGTACATATATATCATGTTAAACTATTGCTAAATTTTTACCAGAGTTGCCAACAGGTTGCTTTTTGTTTTGGCCTGCAGGTCAGGCTAAATGTAAAAGAAAGGCCTACAGAGTGAACTAGACCGATTGATATGTTTGTTTTTTCAAGTCCACGAAGTTCTATAACCTTATTATGGGGTTTGGGTGTGAATCTTGGTGATTGAGTTTCAGGAGATAACCTACAATTATATTCAAAAAACAGTAAATTCTTGAGGAGTAGAATTAATATTATAAAAAGGGATATTTTCTTTTGATCGTTGTTAAAGTTAGTTCAACTGAATAATTATTTTACTAGACATTATTATCGATCAATATTTGCTTCAAATGTATTGCAAAATTTCAATAAAAACAAACATTCTCATCGTACAATGGGTTTAGCTATTGTACCTAAACCTGATCCAAATCATCCACTTCGACGACGTCAAAATTATATTGAATTACCTAAAAGTATATCTAATTTATTTTTATCTATTAAATATTTTGTATATTTATAAAAGTCATTCCATTTATTCGTTCACATCGAATGCCACCAATACCAAAAGTGAATCAACAAGATAATAAAAATCAACTAGAAAAACCATTGAAAAATTTTGTTGAAGAAAATATTAATAAAATTAAAAATTCTTTACCAATATGTCCACGTCGATATGTTGTTTCGGATAGAAAAGGAAATAAATTTCTTATTGATGGTAGTGGTTTACAAAAAGATTTTATTTATAAAAAAGTATTCATATGACTTTTTTTTCTTCAAAATTTTATTTTTGTCTATATAGAATTATGGTAAAATTCCACGTTATCTCGAAGCACGTAAACTAGTACATGAACAATCAAATTGTAATTCTGAAGATAGTTCAATGATTATGTTACCACCGGAAGAACGTCTTTCTCTTATTAATAGTAAATTTCTAAATACTCTATTGAATAATCAATTGTCTTCATTTTTGAAACATGATCTAAACGCGTGGTAAATTATAGGGATAGAAATTTGTACCGAATGCTCTCTCCACATAGATCATGGCAGACGTTAGTATACTCTCACAAATCGTATGTCAATAACATCTCGTTATGACATATGTACTACTTTCCTTATGGCGTTTTTGATGGATTAGGTAAAAAGAGAATAAAGAAATGTCTCAAAATAGATCAAATACAACAGTTTCTCAGTGATTAGCAAGAATAGTTACAGTGCGTTTCATATGCTAATATCACAGAGATTGCGCTAACAGGTGTTTTTTTTTTTTTTTTGAAAAACTTAGATTTAAAAGATCGTTATGAAGATATATTTGCCGAATATCAACGTTTACCGTTACGTCTTGAAACAATATCAGCTATTATGAAAAAAACATATTTAACTAATCAATTAGTTAATATTGAACGTGATATTGATTTTCTTGAAAAACATCAACAAATATTTATTGTTAATAATTATTCTGATATTAACAAAGAATAACTCAATAAAAAAAAAATAATAAAATTTTATTTTTATTTTAAAAAAATATATATAAAGTCTATTTTATTTGTGTAGTTCTGACTTGTATTTTGTTATTTTGACTTGCTTCTAAAATAATCTTAATAAATACAAAAAAGAAATAAATTAATACAAAGAACTTTGTGTTTTTTTTTTTACTTGTATTAACATGATCATTGTTCATGTGCCGAAAGATTCTGTCCATAATTGTTTCTATTATTTATTTCAGACTAGAATGACAAAAGAAAAAAATTAAGTTTTTAATTTTTCTACAAATAAAAAATCTATAAAAACAAAAAATATCAATACAAAACCCAAATAGAACAAATTCCATCAATAATCACTTGATAAATTGAATAAAAATATTCTTCAATACAATTATTATCACAAATAGGATAAATCGTCATTCTAATATTATCAAAAAACAAGAATAATCAAATATATATAGATTTATAAAAATAGATTATTCAATTACAACAATATAGACAAATACTCAATATATAACGAAAAATTCTTATTACCATCAAAAAATGTAGAAAATTGGCATTTTGCTAACAGAACAAACAAAAAAACCGTCTTTTGTATTTCAATGTACTTTGATGTAACGAATGATGTTCAGTCTTGATACATATGAACTAGAATCAATTTTCAACAATCAAACACTACAGAAAAATATATATATATATAAAACAAAATCAACTTACGACAAATTTTCGATTTTTATCTCATTTCACAATTCAATAGACAATTTTTTTCATCAAAATCCAAATTTGTATATTTGTTAAAATAATATTCTTCTAACATTCGAATAGTCAACAAGAAATCATCATCAATTAATCTTTTCAAATCTTCCTATACTCAGAAAACAAATGTCAATACATATATATAATAACATATTGATGCTATTGTTTTGTCCATTATATTTTTTAGTATCTACTGACATCAACAACGAATATGAGTTTGTTTGCGAACAAAAGAAATAATGAAAGATAGATAGATAGATAGAGCGAAAGAGAGAGAGAGACAAATAGAAAACGAAAAAAAAAACAAACAGTAAGAGAACAATAGAGATAGACAATATAGACAAATATATCCATGAAAGTATTTTTTTTTATCATGATCATCATCTATCTCGAGAAATCAGTAAGCAACTTCAATCCAAATATATCCATCAATTAGACATATACAATTCAACGAAATCAAATGTTTAGTTTTTCTTCTTCATTTTCAATTCAACGATATGGCGAACGTCCTCGTGCACGGTCATAAACACTGGCGTTCGGACCGGCAACACCAGTATTACTAAGTACACCTCCAACGGAACGTTGTGTACTAGTATTCGATGTCGAATATGCGCTCAAAGATGAACCAAGACCACCGACGCCACCAACACCGGTACCCAATACACTTCGACCACCGGCAAATGATGATGTCGGCTGTGTACGAACCGATGATACAGTTGATACTCCGACAGGTGCTGTTTGACCCAAACGTGCATCGTCATCTTTGTAGAATGAGCCTGGATGATATGTATAGATATGAATTCAAATCGATTAAGATTGAAAACAAAAACAAGCAACCAAGAAAAAAACAAAAAATAACCGAGAAACAAATCTTTCACACTACCTGATAATTGTGATGATAATTGTGATGTTCCAGTTAAACCAGATGACTGTTGATAATTTGAATATCCACCAGCAAGTGATGAATAAATTGAATCTAATGATATTATTTTCTATTATTATTACTATTATTAGAAAAAAATAAAGAACAAACTGGAATTTGAATATGGATCAACATTTAATGATGATGAACCTAAACCAGAGTTTGTTGATTGAAGTCCTTAAAATAAATTGAAAAACATGACTTTTATTTCTAAAGTGATCATTTAAGTGGTCAGTAAAATAAATGAATGTCCAAGTCGTCAAAATCAACTTAGTTTTGACGTTTAGCCATGAAAACGAATGATTAATCGATGATTCGTTGGACATATGCGATTGATTGGCAATTTTACAATAAACTGCACAATTAAGTATTTAATTACAAAAAATCATTTGTTTTATTTATATCAATCTCAAGACTAAACGAGGATGTGGCGAAAAGAAAAACAGTAGAGAGAGAGAGAGGACAAGAAAGATTTTGCTTAGCTCAAAAGATGCATGTGCAATTTTCTAAAAATGGAGTTGTGCCCTCACCCTTCCCGGATGATTACATCCCTAGAATTTGGTCTTATTGATTCTGTGGTTTTTTCATTTATTCTCCTTATACTAAGCTAATATTTACACAAACAAAACTTATTTTCTCTACTCATAAGATCTATATGTCTACTAATTAATTTTGAGTTTTTTTACTGATAAGTATATATGACAGATCTAACAACCATTGTGTTAGATAACTTCGTCGCGGAACGAGGCAAGTACAAGACAATGTGAGATTTGACGATTCATTTCGCCTTCTTACGATGTAGATTTTGCTGAATAGACGATTTAAACTTAATTCTAGATAGATAGCATGTGCACATCAAATTCTTCTATTCATTCATCACGTATTCCTAAAGTTACATGAAAAAAGACTCACAATTTATTCATACTTAAATAGGCTCTTGATGAGGCAGTGGCGCAGCAGTTTTTCAACTGCTTTGCACATTTCTCTTATGCAGATAAAAAACTGACCATTTAATATTTACACTAATCTTTTGCCTATATTTTTAATGACCAAAAATTATGTTCTCTTTTCTTTCTCGTATAAAACCTTTCGACTTACCAGTAAGTGAATTAAGTCCTGTAAAACCACTTGCAGCTAATTGTGTTAAAGCACTAATAGCACTTGGTGATAATTGTGAAAGTGCTTGTAAAGCTGTTAAATCACTATGATTCATATAATCTTTAAAAGAATACGAAAAACTTATATTTAAATAATAAAATTAAGAGTTCTATTTACCTGATACATTTGGTGTTATATTTTGCATTGGATTTGAATTTATTTGATTTATTTGTGGCATTGGTGGTTCAAGTTGATTAACATCTAGAAGAAATATAGTTTAAAATTTATATATGTTTTTTGGAATATTATATTCATACTAGCTGCTCGTAATGGATTTCCAGCAATACCTAAACCAACACCAATAGATTTCAAACCACCTAAAATATAAAAGAAATTACGATCGAAAGATTTTCGTTTGTTTTTGGTTTTACTTGGTAATTTCATTGGTCTTCCATCATCTTTTCCTTCATCTTTCAAATCAATTTTAACAGCCATTATTCTATCATATAATTGTTGTTCATTAAACATTGATACAGCTTGTACAGCTTCTAATGGATATTCATATTCAACAATAGCCATACCACGACTTTGACCTTCTTTTGTGCGTTTTAATGTTACATCACGAATACGACCAGCTAAGGAAAATACATCACGAACTTTCTTTTCGTCACATTTAAAATCGAGCTAAATAAAATTTTTATAATATTCAATATGAAAATTAAATTATAATTACTTACATTAGCGACAAACACTTTATTTGTAATAGGTCCTTCAATACCTAATCGTTGTAAAATGTATGGTGGAATGCCAGAAACAGATGAATAACCCGAAAGTGAGACACCTACACTATTAAGACCTACACAAAGAAAAAATTTTAGACTTTTTGTTTTTCTTTTTAAATGAATGATTAATTATCTTACCTGCTATTTGAGATGAACGAGATAGACTACCAGTATTTCCATCGCCTCCACCAAATTGATTTGATAAATTACTCTGATGATGAAGTACATTACCCTTTTGAGATAGACGTCCTTCAAGTGATTGATATTTAGCTCGACGTGTTCGAAAACCTTCTTCATCCTATAGATACATAAATATCAACAACATTTACTTATTAAAAAGGAAATGATTTCGCTGTAAAAACTGTTAATGAAGTATCTCATTAAATATCCTTGTGAGTACAAACGGAATCTGTCTAAGAAATGCAAAAAAAATTAAAAACATTCGATTTTGTTTTTAAGTAAAGCTGAAATTCAGTGGTATTGGAATTGTATCAAACGTTTTGAAAAATCCTAAACAAGGATAGACACAGATTACCTTACGTTTTATTCTAACATCAATGACCGAAATTAACGCACGTAGGAACTTCTTCCAATATCGCCTTGGGATTTGAATGGTTTTTCTTCCGCTTACAGATACTACTCAGTATTCTAGTGACAACCCTGAGAACGGATATGAATTCCTATTGAGACTTGGTGAGAATATTAAATTTTCAATATATCTTCCCATGGGACCATAAGATTTAGGAAAAATTATGTTTCCGATTTGAAGATCTCACACAGACTAGCTCGCATGAAGGAATGGCATTAATATGACCGAAAGAAAAACAAAGCCGAAAACGAGTTTACATTGAGATTCTCGACCAGCATTATATTCAAGAACAAAATTAAACATAAGACAAAATATGTTTCTCTATATGGCTGGATGTAACTGAGAATGTGCATGTCGGATGTGTATGTAGATATTAGTCTTTTCTTCACACGTATCTCACACTCCATTCTTAAAAAAGTGGGTTGAATATACGCGAAAGATTTTCAACATTTTCTTTTACTACTTTTTTTCTGCGATATTTATTTCTTTCGGCTTAATTTCAGATGAGAGTAGTTTCATTTCAAGAAAATCAAAAGCACACTTTTTCCGAAAATTTGCATTCTTCAAGCGGCCTCCAGGAAATAGACATAGTAAAAATTCAAATCTTTTTGGGCTTTTCATCAAACTACTATTTAGTATCTATAGGAAAACAAATTGATTGAAATCGGAAGGAAAGATCTGGATGGGTTTCCTCATCGGTTTCACTCTGTTGCATGATAATTTGATCGTTAGTTCTCTTAAATCCAATATTTACTATTGAAAATTCTATCAAAATTCACTCTTATCAAACACACATTGACAGACAAGTATTTTATTTGTTTAAATATTCTATAGAATTAATTTTCTTACCAATTTAACTGCTAATTTTCGACCACCATATTCAAATTGATGCATTTTTTCTACAGCACGTTTAGCTTCTTCAACAGTTCGAAATTCAACAGAACTATAATGAAAGAAAATTTTATTTTCAAAATTCAATATTTTCATTTCAACTTACCCACAACCAAGTGATTTTCCATCTCGTTCAAATACTTCTGTATACATGACTTCACCAACTAAAATCCAATAAATAAATAAATAAATAAAATTTTTTTTTGTTTTTATTAAAACAAATCAAACCTTCAGTACGAAATAAATCTTTTAATGCTGTCCATCTCATATCATAAGGAATATTAGATACATGAACTGTTTTTTCCCATCTATAAATTTAAATGATAAAAAAAAAATCGATAAACAAAAAAGAAATTTTCTCAAATGAATTTTATACCGATATTTTAATCCAAGTTCACGATCGGAATATAAATTAACCGTTTGACTAAGTCGATCACCAGTATTACTACGATGATCATATGAATTATTATTATTTGACGAATGACTTGATTGATAACGATTATTTCTTCTATCATGAAAATTAAATGAATTATTACTTCTTGAAGATGATCTATGATAATGTCGTTGTGATGATGCTTGTTGATTATTATGTGATGGTGAAAGACGATTCGGACTTCTTGAACGTGAACGTGAACGACGATCAGGTGATCTTTGATTATCATAATCACTTTATTAATAGAACAAAGAAAAAAAAAAAAACGAATACAAAAAATTAATTCATATTCAATCAATCTTATTTACCCTCCTGACATGGTTTTTTTTTATTTTATTTTTTTAATAAGCAAAACAAAAATTTTAATCTAAAAAACAAAAAGATAAATGAAAATCTAAATTTCTAATCATTTTGTAAATTCTCAATTGGAATCGGCTCAACATGATCAGCCATTTGAAAACGAAATATTTTTGAAAAAAAATAAAATTGACCATCTAAACTTTTTCGTATATTTTCAGCTTTACGAAAACCATGTTGTTCACCTTCAAATAAAACATATGAAACTGGTAATTTTTTTTCACGTAATGCATTAACCATTATTTCAGCTTGACTTGGTAAAACAACTTTATCTTCTGTACCTTGAAAAAATATAATTGGTTTTGATAAATTTTGAACATGACTTATTGGTGAACGTTCAATATAAAGATTTTTTTCAGCTGGATATTCACCAATTAATTGATCTAAATAACGTGCTTCAAATTTATGTGTATCACGTGCAAGTAATTCAAGATCACTAACACCGTAATGTGATGCACCAGCAGAAAAATAATCAGACATTGTTAATGCACATAATGTTGTATAACCGCCAGCTGAACCACCATCAATTGTTAAACGATTTCTATCAACTTTATTTTGTTGAACAAGATGTTGAGCACCAGCTACACAATCTTGTACATCATAAATTCCCCAATTATGTTTTAAACTATCACGAAATTTACGTCCATAACCAGTTGAACCACGATAATTAACATCAAGCAATGCAAAACCACGTGATGTCCAATATTGTACACGAAGATTAAATGAACTTGTTGTTGCTGATGTTGGACCACCATGAGTACGTACAAGTAATGGTGGAAGTTCATTTGTTGGTATTTGATAATCATCATTTTTTGGTGAATAATAAAATCCATAAGCAACATCATCACCGGTTTTAAATGTTATCATTTCTGGTACAGATAAATAACGTGAATCAAATGTTAAATTCGTTGAATGACATATAACTTTTTTTGTATTTGTTTCTAAATTCAATTCGACAATTTCAGTTGGTTTTATAGATGATGAACCAATAAAATAAACATTTTGATTGTGAACATGCACATAACGTACATCAGTATATTCTTCTGTAGCTGTTAATGGAATGAGTACTTTTGTTTGAACATCAATTTTATTTAATTTAGCAATTCCATCTTTCCAATAAACAGTAACAAGATTTCCATTTGAATCAAAATCATAATAAGATGTACCAAATTGCCATGAAGGTCCACCGAACTCAGCTTCCATATGATAAAGATGTTCTAATGATTGATCATCAATATTAGTACGATAAATATTCCACCAACCATTTTGATCACTAACAAAATAAATATACTTTCCATCTGGTGACCATTGTGGGTATATAATAGATTCATTAATTTTTCCAAATAATTTTTTTTTATTAATCAATACATTTTCTTCATTACTAAATTCACCAATCCATAATTCTGTTTGATCCCATGGCATATTTGGATGATTCCAACAAATCCATATTAAATATTTTCCATTAGGACTTACTTTTGGTGATGAATAAAAATCATAACCTGAATCTAATGTAATTAATGATGATGAATTTTTTAATGAAATAGATATAATTGTATTTTGAACACCACTTTCATTTTGATGATTTTCATGTACACAAATTAATTGTTGTCGGTTTAAATCAATTGTAAAATCTGCATAACGTAATGATGCATTTGTTGATTCATTTGTTAATGGTACTGGTAAATTATTCTCTTTAAGATCTAATTTATATATACGTTGATCAACAAAATTAGAAAAATAAACAATATCATTCTTAACAATATATGATCCACCACCATATTCATGAACACGTGTACGACAATTAAATGTTTTTGGTATTAAATCATCTTTTTGTTTATTTGAACGAAGTACATAACGACCATTTTCAAATGGACGAAGTTCTAACCAATACACATTTCCTTTTTCATCAACTTCAATTTCTAATAATGTTAAAGTATTTTCAACAATTAAAGATGATTGTATTGGTGATAACCATGTACCATAAGACATTTTATTAGAAACTGAAGTTAAACTATTCCAATATGGTCTAGAAAATTCAAATCTCAATATGATGATGATGAAATTTGTTGACTACCTGCTGCTGCGAAGACAAAGGTCTTGTTCCTCATGAAGAGTACATGTGAGGAAAGAATATTCATCATCACAGCAGTAATGGTAGACAATAAATGATATCAGTAATGATGATAAGGATAAAAGCATTTATACAAGGATGAATTTTTTGATAAGCAATGCAATGATATGATAAAAAAAAAGTATCAAATGAAAGTGAACGTAGAGGTAAAGTTAGCGAATGAAAGTATCTTTTTGATCTTCTGGTTCTTTTTTAGTAAACTTTTTTATTGAATAAAATTCAAATTATTATTCTTATTTTCTTTAATATTTTTATTAGAAAAGAAAACAAAATTTTCTTCTTTTAAATCAAAGAGGTTCGATAAATAATTTCTTATTGGTTATTTCAATCAACAAATGATTAATAAAAAAAGGCGATAGAATGTTTGCTTAACGTTTTTCGTTTTTTTTTTTTTTTTCTAAGATGCATTTAATCAAAGGTCAATAAACAAAATAATGATTAGTCCACCATCATTACCACCTCCATTTGATCCAAATAAGAGTTTTCAACCAGTTTGGCGTCAAGCTTATCAATGGCTTAATCAATGTCATGTTTTATCACCTGAAGCTAATCGTATTTTAAGTTCACCAACTAGCACCATCGAAGATTTAGCAGTTATCTTAACAGATGGTTTGATATAAAAATAATTTTTTCTTATATCAAATTAATAAGATAAAAATTAAAAAAATTCATTTTTGTTTTATTTAGGTATTGTCTTATGTAATTTGCTCAATTATTTAGTACCTGGAATAATTAATTATACAGATGTTTCCTTTCGACCACAAAAAAGTCGTGTATGAAATAGAAAATTATTTTAATTTAATAAATAATATTGATAAATTTAGTTTCTTTGTTTACAAAATATTCGTTTATTTTTGGATACATGTAGACGTGAATTAAATTTTCGTGATCGAGACCTATTCGATCCATATATGTTATTTGATAAATATGACTTAGATAAAGTAAGGATGAGAACAAAAAAAAAAAAAACATAAAAATTGATTATTTCAATCAATTTCTTTTTCTTTTTATGAAGATTATTGAAACTCTATCCAAAATCTCACGATTAGATGTAGCAAAAAGAAAAAATTTAACACCTTTTCCAATCAGTAGCCCAGTGAATTATGTTAATATGCCTAAAGATGATGATAATGGTCTATTACCAATTATTCGTTCACTTGATGAAACAATACCTACACAAGGGTAAGTTTAATTTTTATTTTTCTTATTATAATTTTATTTATTTAATATATAAATATATTTATATATTAATTATCATTATTCAGTACTTCTATGATGAATAATGATGATAATGAAGATGACTCTCGAGCACTTCTATATTATGCATCACCTGAAACAATTGTTTCTCCAGCAGACAAAAATGATCTTTATGGACGCATAATTGAGAAGAAGAGGGTTGGTGTCTAGAAAAGAATGCTATATCTTTTTTGTTATGCTTTGTTTTGTATCTATGCACATTCTTTGCTTTATATGCTTTATGTATTTGCTTGTTGCTCTTGCTACTTTGTGCACCCCTATTTTATTTCTTTGCTAGACCACCTAAATTACAACGACAATCATCTTTATGTCATTCATGTCGTTATGCACGTATTCATCATGTACCTTCATTTCATACCACAAATCTACCTCAAATAACAAAACAAGAATCATCATTTATGAAAACAACAAGTTCAACAAATTTAAATGAATCATTATCATCATCATCACTTGTTGCTGCTTGTGCTGCATCAGCATTATCATCAGCAGCAGCAATAACAGATAAAAATTCAAATGATTTAATAACATCATTAACAAATCATCGTTTATCAACATCGTCTCTTCCATTTTCAATATTAAATGGTGATACAGGTGTTTATGGTTCACGTATAAGCATCGCAGATGATGTTTATGAACAATTATGTGAAAAACCAAAAAAATCTGTTAGTTTTTTCTTCTTTTCTCTGCTTCATGCTTTGTACTATTAGTTAGCATTTTTATCTTTTTTTTTAATCATTTTATTATTCTTATCATTATTATTAATAAAAAATTCTAAAAATTTTCATTGTTTTCTTTAGGATACTCATAGAGCATTCCTTCCACGTGATCATTGTGTAAAAGAATTACTCGATACAGAATTGAATTATCGCGATTCATTATATCAAATAGTGACGGTAAATAGAACTATTAGATGTTTTTTTACATTAACATAAATATATATATATAAATCGATTTATTTTAGAATTTTATCGAACCATTACCGTTAAAGCCAGATGAAAGAAAAAAAATTTTTCTAAATATTTCTGTAAGAATTTATTAATATATATTTTTTTCTATAGTTAAAATCTCATGATTTTCTTTTTTTTGTTTTGTTTTCAATTATTAGGATATTTATGCATTACATTCAGAATTTTATGATGATTTACGTGCAGCTGGTCGAAATGAAAAAGGTCGTACATCACGTATTGTAGATTTATTTACAAGATGGCAAGATCGATTTCTTATTTATGCTAAATATTGTTCTGAATTACCTGATGCTCAAGAATTTCTTGATCGAAAAATAAAACAAGATGCAAATTTTGCTCAAAAACTTGAAGTAAATATTAATCATAAAAGCGATTTTAGCTTAAGAAATTATTTTACATGTTAAGAGTTGTTTACAAATCGTTGCGTGTAATCACATATAGAAATAAGTTTAAAAAATATTTAATTCTACATGTTTCTGTTAACAGTTACGTAGGTAAGAGTGAAATATACAGATCGAATCAAAAATTGTGTGAATCGTCAATCTGATCTTTGAATGAGCGTTCCTACTTTGACCATCACGTTGGATAAAATATTTGAGTAAAAGTTTTACGGCTTATCGATAAATAATTTGACAAAATGTTCAGTCTCTTAAAGAAGTTCACAGAAATTTGAAACTTTTCTATTGTTTACGATAGCAGTTGCATTTGCTTCTACTTTCGATTAGTTTTGGTATGATGAAGTTAGTCCAAAATTAATTCATGGACATTTAATAGATCGAATCAGAAGTGCTACAGAAATTTTAAGCTGATTTTTAAAAAAGAACACAATATTTTAATCTAATACAATGTTAACAGTTTTCTGAAGGCTTCTTTAAGAGGTTAAAAAAATAAACGAACATTTTTTCTATAAAAAAATCGATTCGACCACGATTTAATAATTTATTGCACTTGAGAACAGATTACAGAAGTGGAAAGAGATATTGTTTTACTGAAGAAATTCGTTTCTAATGAAAATTCATCTGCATATGACGAAGTATCTGAATACATTGGAGAGAAAAATGAATTATTAAAAAAAGGTGAACTTGTATCATTGTTATGGAAAAAACAGTCATATCTACACATATATCCACCAATCTGATGTTTGGCACCAATAGTGCGTTCCATTTCAGCGTCATCAGCAACAATCGAATGGATACTCAGCGAAACTCATCAAAGTTTAGAAGCAGAAAGACACCAACTGAATAATTTTTTTGTAAAAATTCAGATAATCACTTATTTTTCTGTTGCTTTTAATAAAAAAAAAATAAATAGTGCACTGTTTCATATAAAACAAAACATTGAAAAAACTCTACTATAATCATCAAAGTATTTGCCGAATTTCGATTAGCTCCAATTCGAGTCCAGTTGCGAAAAGTTTATCCGTACAGAATATTCGTTGATAGAAAATCATTACTGATTGAAAATGTTAATTCATTTTTACATTGATAATCAAATATATAGATTATTCATATTGGCAATGAAAAACAATTTGTGTATTCGTTTTAGCAATGTCGTCAGTCAGCAGGTGAACTTGGTAAATTTCAACTACGTGATACAGTTGTTTTACCATTTCAACGAATTGTTAAATATTCACTATTATTACACGTAAATTAATTTCTTTTCTTAAAGAAAAAAGAAAATAACATAATTTGTCTTGTTTCTTCTTTTTTTTATGTAGACAATGAAAAAAAATGTTCCATCAACCGATCAAAATGGTGATGCAAAACGACAATTATTAGAAAAAGCTGAACAATTAATGATTGTAAAAATAAAAATTTTTTGTCTTTACTTTGCATTCATTAATTCATTTTTATTTAGGATGTTAATCAATATATAAATGAAGCAAAACGTGCACATGATAATTTAAAAGTTATAAATAATATTGAGAAAACAATCTGTGATATTAAATTACCATCAGATAGATGTTTACGTAGTTATGGTCGATTCATAGCTGATGAACAATTTACTGTTAGTGATGATGGACATCGAGGTGGAACAAGGTAAATGTTCTTTTTTTTTTTTATGAGTATTTTATTATTTTTTTGTACATTCTTTTAGAACTGTGTTTCTATTTGATCGTGTTCTTTTAATATGCAAAGTTAAAGTAAAATGAAAAGAATTTCTTTTATTTTCAATTAAAATTTGTTTGTTTGTGTTTAATTTAGGGTTCAGAAAAATATACATTTCGTGCAGCTTTATTTATTCAAGGATGTCAAATAGAAGAATTAAAAGCAACAAAACGCGAGGTTTATTTTTATTAATAATAATTTTATTCGAAAACACAAAAAAAAAAAACGAAACCATTTTTTTATGAATATTTTTAGTTTCCATTTATTTTACGTGATAATATGAAGCATGAATATAGATTTGTTGCAAAAACCGAAGAAAAACGTACATATTGGCTTAAAAATTTACGAGATGCTATGTAAGAATATAATGAATAAATAAAAATAAAAAAAAAACATTGATTTTTCAATAAATGTTTAGTGATCGATGTTCAAATTCAGAATTATTTGAAAATGGACATTATTTTCAAATGAAATCATTCGATGAAATCAATCCACGTTGTGATCTTTGTAATCGATATTTATGGTAAATAAAATATTATAATTAATAGAAATAATTTATAAAGATTTCTGTTTTACTTTTTAGTGGAATATTTTATCAAGGTTATGAATGTTCAAGATGTCAGAAGAAACTTCATCGAGAATGTATCAAAAAAATGGGATCATGTTTTCATCGAGGTAGATATCATTCTAATGAAAATCTGAAAGATTTCACAAGTTATTATTTTATTGATTTTGAATATTCATATTAGCTTTTAATCTAATGATAGAGATCTAATTAATAAGACTGACTATACCGAACTGAAATTTTCTAATGCTTAAGTTAAAATATATTATACACTATCAGAAAATATGCATTTAAAGAATACAAAATAAATAAGACTCGGTTAGAACTCGTTGGATGGAAATATTGCTAAGTTTCAAATCACTTTTGAGATGAGTTTCAATTCATTAAGTAGACCTTGTTAGTATAAATAACAGTTTTCTAATGAGAGAAGCTCTTCAACTGAGATATTATTTTTGAGTCTAGACTATGAGCATGATATCGACCGAGATAATCTATGAATATCTTTAAAAAAATTAATGTTCTCAACTCATTGTTGCAGAGGCACTGTATTCTTATGGTATTTTTGTGAATGAATGTCCTGCTCCAAAAAAGCGATTTTCGAACATGAATTTAAAACTTTGCATAGAAACGAGTCTTAACATAAATATTTCAGATGTTTTGATTTGTTGCTATCGTGAAATAAGAACATCAAATCTACTAGTTTGTGTAAGCAATGTCAAAGACATACTATTGCCATAATTGTATCTTAGAACAGGAACAGTGACACGATTTGAAAACACTCTTCTTAAAGTCTGTTGTTATACGAAGTATCAAGTGGAAGTTCGAAAATCCAATTGTTCTGATGTCTGTCAGGGGTCACAGAATTCATTTAAAAAAATATTATAAAAGTGCATTATTTTCGCAACAATAAGTTAAGAACATGAAACTTTTTCAAGATATTCATCATTCATTGAAGTGTACATAATGCACATAGTTTCGACTGAAAAGCAATTTATCAGTTAAAGGACTTCTCTCATTAGTAGAATTTTTCAAGGATTTCATCACTCTCGTCTGTTCATATTATTATTTCAAAAACATGAATTAGTTTCGTCTAATTAACATTCATTCAATTGTAATAATGTTGAATTTGAACTTATACGATTACTTAAAGTTATTTAAAAATCTTATGCTTTTTTTTTCATTTAGCATCACTTGAACGTATTCGAAGTTTTGATCGAGGTTCAATTGAGTTACCACGTGCATTTACCAGTGCATCTAATGTTAATAACCACAGTATGTATCTTTTTCTTGGTTTTTTTTTTAGTAATTAAATTTCGATTCTATTTTAGATCGAGTTTATGCTTTATATGATTATGATGGCTCAATAAATAATAACAATAATAGATCTCATATGAATCGATTTGATGAACGACATATTAAAGTTAATGAAGGTGATGAACTTGAAATAATTGAAGATGATGATGAACATATGTGGAAAGTAAGAAAATATGATCATATATTTTATTTATTTAATTAATTAAATAAAAAAAATTGTTTTAGGTAAAAAATTTACGAACTAATGAAATTGGTCTTATTCCTGCAACATTGGTTGGTACAATTGATGGTGATTTACAAAAAGCAATTCAACGTTCATCAACAACTCTTGTATGAATTTCAAATTTTCAATATAATATAATATTTATTTTTTTCTTTCTTTTGTTTTTTTTTTTAAGGCTGAAACATCATCATTGGTATGTGATTGTGAAACTTGGTAGGTATCATGAATATTTTAATTTTCATATTTTCAGCGTTCGAACATATCATCAACACTTGCACATCATTTTCCCTTTCTTCGTTCACTTGTTCAAGCGTATAGTCCACCTAATCCAATACGTGTATCAATTGGAAATACATATTCAAATCCACCATCATCAAATAATAATAATAATAATAGTAATAGTAATAATACTATACCTATTCAACGCTCAAAATCTATTTCATCACCAACAACACCTGAAACAATATCATATAAACATCGAACATTACAATTATCATCTTCATTTGATAATACACATTTATCATCGACATTTGTTCCAATCTTACCGAATAATCGTCTAAATGATTGGTAAAACAAATGTGTGAATATGAAATTAAATTTATTTTTATAATTTTACTAACTATATATGAAGGGAAAATATGGTTTTTTGTTTTTCTAATTTACTACCCTTGCTTTAATGCTAATCACACTCATAATCTTTATCTTTTTTTTTTTAATTTTTGTTTTAATATTAGAAGCTTAGAGTATTTTTTTTTCTCTATTTAGGTATCTTGATATTAGTCGACATCAAGCAGAAGATATATTAAGAAATGAAACTGTGCCGAATAATACATTTCTTGTTCGAAAACAAGGAAAAAATGAAGGACATGCAATATCAATTAAGTAAGTATTGATTTGTCGTCAAATGCAGTTTTCTTTCTCTTCTATTAATATGTAAATCTGTATGATAAACACGAATTCATTAGTATTCTTTTGGGATAATTCCAGAATAAGAAAACAATGACATTTACTTGTTTTGAAGCAGTGTGCAATACCATCGAAAAGAATAAACCCAAGAAAAATACGATATACCATATATATAAAACACAACATGTAACCATCATTTGGTTATTCTTGGAAAAAATATCTAATGTAGGCTATATAAAAAAAAAAAAATAAATACAATTTTAAATACACAACATAAATATGCCATGGGCATGTTTTCTATGAGATGTATTTAATAGAATATTCAAATATTTAAGTTTGCTTATTGTTTACTGTAATATGATATTGTAATCAGAATGTTGCTGTTTATTTACTATCATATATAGACAATAACGAAAAACTAATTTGCTAAAATGTTGCTATTTATTATAAATATGTTTGACATTTTAATCTTGTAAAAATATATACTGTAAAGTTATGATTTTGATATTATTATCGTTTTTTTTGATAAATGTTAAAGATAAAGACTTTCATCGGAATTATTTATAGGAATGATCAGAACTCTCTACATTACCTATTAGGTTGAGTACTACAGGTTTTATGTTTTTGAGTGATGAATTCTATTGTTTAATATTCATTATACAAATTGATGCTTTTGAAGGCTTAACCTACGTATCCTTAGGGCTTTACACAGGCCGAGTCAAGATTGACTTCAATTTCTTTTCATGAGTATAGACTTCGAAGAAATACCAATCGAATTCCAAGAAAAAAAAACATATCAGTTTGTACAGTGAACACCAAAGAATAAAACTTATAGTTCAAATAAACCTCTTATGTTAAATCTGACGTCATTTAATTATCTCTAATGCAGGTCTTTATGTAACATTCATTTTAAAAACATAAAACATTCCGTCTGTCGAACTGTAGGCAATAACGTAGATATTAAATGAAAAAATGAAAGTGACCTTTTTCGATAGTTGAATAATAACTTATACATTTTAAATGATGATCAATTTTTTTGGTGGAAAAAAAACTTTGTCACAACTTCTAAGTTCATTCGAAAAACTTAATTGCAAACAAATTCAAATTTCAGTACTTTGAAAGAAAAATATCATTCTTGTGTGAAAAATAAAAAGAGTTGGACTATAATCATATATGATCTAAAACTAGGATTTCTGCTCTATCGATTTATATGACAAGTTAGCGTTGTTAAAACAAAAAATTCTTCATTTTTTCGAAAAGATGTCTTCGGTAAAATTCACTGTCATTTGTATTTCCATTGATTCGATATCAATGGAACTTTCAAAGAATGTTCTTCTATATCTGCGACATACATTTAATTAATGCAGATACTTCTAGACTGATATACAGGTTTTTCAAAAACCATGGTTTTCTAATGTTTTTGTTTTGTGATTTCTTTGTCACAGAAGCAGTTTGAGAAAAAATACAAAGACATATTTGAAATTAACGTAGAAAACTGCATTAGATGATGTGCTATCTGGCAATTTTTTAAATGAAAAACTTTGTCAATGAAGCTTAGAATATGAGTCCCCATCAGGGATTTTCCATCGCCTGTGGTTTTTTTTTTTTCATTAGTGTTATTTTTTCAATACAAGAATTTAATACTCATATGGAAAAAACCCTCATTTCTGACAGAGAGAATAGGTCATGTCAACATGCTGGATAGAAATTGATTAAATTTAGAAAACGAAAATGAATCTATATTTAACTATTTTTGATTTAATAATAATAAAATTTTAAATATTTATGAATTTATTTAGACATAATAACGAAGTATATCATATTCGAATATATACTCAAGAAATTGATGGTTCTGTTAAACACTATCTAGTTGATAGTCTTCTTTTCGACAGTTTACAAGTAAGTAAAAAACAAAAAAAAAAAAGAAAGCAATTTAAAAATTTTTCTTTAGTCTTTAATTCAATATTATCAAATACATTCACTTGAAGATCGTTTTCCTCCTGTTAAAAGCTCATTGGTACATCCTATAGCACATGTATGTAGTCATGATATGCTACTCCTGCCGGGCACTCTGTAACTTTTTTTTTCATCATATTTATTTTATTGATAAAATAAAGTCTTCATTTCTTTTTTTTTTTTTTCTCGTTATTTATTCTTCATTATAAACACAACGAGCAAAATAATAAAGAAAAACAGTGAAACGTTTTTTTTTTTTGTTTGTTGGTTTCTTTGTTTTACAATTTGTTGTTTATTAAGCAATATGAAAAGAAAAATAAAAATCAAACGTGCGATAGTTTAAAATCATTAGAGTATCATTTTCTTTTTTTTGTTGTTGTATGCATGTGTGACTATTAGATAAAATTGTTCATCCTCTTCTACTATCCCATCTTCTTCTTCTCAAACTTCTCCATAATTTTTTTTTTTCTTATCGTTCATTTATGCACATTTTTGTTATGGTCTATTTTTTTACTTTCTATTCAATTAAAACAAATAAAAAAAGAATCAGAACATCAAAATATCCCTTTGTTTTTTAAGTTGATAAATGAAATGCAAAAAAACAAAAAATAAATTGAAAAGGAAACAATAACAATTTTCTTCTAAAAACACTCTAGATGGCTAAATATGTATCTGTTCGATCGAATTGGTCATCTATAAATTCAATATCGCTTGATCTTGTTTGTGATATTAGTATTGAGGAAATTGAACAAACAACAATGATGAATAAACAAGAAGAAACTAATGATGATAATAATCTTAGGTTGGTTTTCTATTTTTTATAATAATTGTATTACAAATAACATTCTGTTTAGACGAAAGTTGTGAAACTTTCGAAATAATAATTCTAGATGACAAACTGATTTGATAATTATTAAGAACTTGTTTATTAAAATAATAATAACGATTTTGATTAACAGAAATCAAATTAGGATGTGGGTGTAAAAAAATCTTTTTATATTTTTCTTTCGAAGAATATTCGAGTTTCAATGATTATGCAATTCTATCATACGTAGATGAAATATGATAATTTTTAATGAGTGACAATGTATATATGCTAATAATAATTATACTTTTGTTTGAACTATTTAGTTTACTTTTAATTTCTTTTCCTATTGGTAAGAAATCATATTGTTTGGATTTTTCAATAGTCATACTTATTTGAATATGTTTAAAAATCAATAAATAGAATAAAATCTTTCAATTATTTGAATAATCTTATCTAGAAAAACTACTTCATCAGATGAGAATATTACAAGTGTAATTCTTCGATCGAATGAAACAGACAAACGAGAAGATCCAATTATAATATTAAGTGTTCTTCAACCAGATGAATATCATATTATTTCCATTCAATTTTTATCCAATGCTAAACATATGGAAGTAATATAGAATTTAGTTTTCAAATTATTATTATGATTATTATATATATATATATTTTTTTTTTTCTAATGATTTTTTTATTAGTTTTATCATCGAGAATATATTGGTAGTTGTCAAGGTTCCCGTATAACTGAACTTGATAGTGAATCGATTTATGAAATAACATTTGAATTTAATCAATTTCATGAAGAAATAACATTAAAAGTAAAATCTATCGAATTTAGTTTGTTTGAGTATTAATATTTTTATTTTAATGTCTTTCGTTACCAGTGTTTAAAACTTGCTGATATAACACAATTAATAGTTTATTGTTTACAAATAAATCTAAGTAAAAAAAAATTCAATGTACAATCACTACCAATGATGAATTTACCATTTGATTTAAATCGTGTACGTTCAATGATTGATGAAACAAATTTATCATCAAATGCTCGTCAATTTATGAATGATCTTCAACATATACAAGAACAACGACGTACAAAAGAAACTTCTTCTTCTTCTTCATCGCAACAATTGAATTTAAGTCAAATTATGTTAATGATGAAAGGTTAAAAACTTTTTTTTTATTAACTTTTTAACATGTAATTAGATAATGTTTCTTTAGGGATGACTAACTCATTTTCTAATACAAAGTAAGACATTTTTTTAAAAATATTTATCAGTTGGAATTTTCTGTCAGAATTTTTGATTAAGAAAGAAGCCTCAAATATGTGGTATTTTTTTTTAGATGCGCAAAATAGGATTATTATCTTTTTTTTTTTTTTCACCTAAGAAAATCTTTTCATTTTAATCAGTGATGGCGTTGAAGTAATAAGCTTTACCAATCTCAGATTTCTTTGATTAAATCTACCAGATGATAAATTATATTAAATTAGATCACATATCATCATATGATGATATTTAAATAAAAAAAAAAACCCTTGTTTATGTGACTGATTGAAAATTATTGGCTACTTTGTATACAATTATATCGTATCGATAGAAAATTATAAAAAAAAATATATATCAAAATACATTCTCTATAAGTAGATTATATTTTGTTGTCAAGAATAAAAAAATGAAATATACTTTTCATTCTATGAAAAATATAAAAGTAACTAACTGTTATCAAAATGAATATTTGAAAATCAATTACAAAAAAATATCTTTCAATTGATTATTGACGTAAGCATTTCGTTTGATGGATTTAACAATTACAAGAAAAAAAATTAATAATAAATATTTAATGTTCTCTAACATGGACTTACCGATTTTAGTACTTTTACTGACGTTAGCCTTTTTTTTTTGTTTTATTTCAGACAGTTATCGCCTGCACTTCTAACGCCAATTCTTAAGGAGATCAAATCTTCTCAAAATGAAGAAATAAAAAGTACTACTGGTAGTCAAGACAACGAAAATATGAAACAAGAGTTAAGTGCATTAGAAAATCGTCTACAAACATATATAGACAAACAATTTTCACAACTTCAACAACATATTGATGATCGTTTAGATCACATTGAAAAAAGACTGATGAACTTTATTGGGAAAAAAAAAATATTTTTCAACAATCGGAAATCATATATATGTAAATGAATATTTTTACTTCTTTTTTTATTTATGAACGATCTATTTAATATTCTTTTGTTGTTGTTGTTGTATTTTTCTCTTCAAATAAACCATTTCTACTTAATGATCCTAACTAACATCAAACTGATAAGAAAACATGAAAATGTATGAAGAGAGAAGAATCTATGACAGTCTTGATGCCAAGCATAATCACGAGAAATTGGCTTTTTCATTGTTCTTCATCATCCAAACACATTGGTCATGCAATCTTTTCTAGAGCGTTTTTTTTTTCTAAAGATTTCTTTTTTTTTTTTTCTTTCATAACACCAAGATTTTTATATATTCATCCTTCGTTTCTATTTCTTGTCATTTTCTTCCGCTTAACAAAACAAACAACACTATGTTCACGACTCTTGTTCTCCTAGTTTGCTGTTTGTCATTAGTTATCACTTCACCTATGAAACAGAAACTTGATGAAAAATATATTGATGGAAAACAATATACAATAAAAAATGTTGGTGCAACATATACACAACGTATTTCTAACCATGGTATGCTTAACCTATTGAAACTAATACTCTATTAACAACTCATTGAAACTTTTTATATGTCACATGAGAAGACAAATTATTCGTGGGCGGGATGACAGACATTTCTTAGATAAATATAGAAAAGCTATATGCGTTTGAATAAAATATACGTATTCAAGAATACTCTATATATATATAATTTTCTAATACATATTTAGGTCAATGTACGATTGAATTGAAGAATCACGGTGACAAAAGTACTGCAATAACTGAAGGTGAAATAGTCAAAATAAAAAACAAATGGTTTAAAGTTGAAGATTGTCGATTAAATCGAGCATATATAGTTACATGTGGTTCACAATTATTTCTTCGATTGCACAATCTTGTATGTTCATATGTTGAACAACATTATGACAAAAAATTATTGAAAAAAAGACAAACAGAAGATGACCTAATTAATATTATTGATAGATCTTATTATAGTGAATGTTGTAAAAGTGCATGTACAGTATCTGAATTAATTCAATATTGTCCTTTAAAATGGTGAAAGAAAATAATAGAAAGAATAGAAAACAAAAGAAGAGAATCGATCATTAAAGCCTTATCAAATTTTTAATTTTTTGTGTTGTATTTTGTCACCAGACACATGCATTCAACTTTAATCTTATTTTCGTGTTGTCTTTCTTCATATATGTACAAAATGAAATTAATATACTCAAAAAAAACTTAATATATATATGTATACTTTATTTTCATATCGTCAGTTAATTACAAAATCATAAGAAACTATTCATATATACATTCGTGAAAATTTTATGAAAATATTTGGTACATATATTTCACAAACATAATTAAAATGATAGCATATGCTTGATCACGTCTTGTTTCCTAAGCACTTATTTCTTGATTATAATTTTTATTGTAAACTTGTCTAAATATCCAAACAAAAACAAATCAACAAGTTCTTGAAAACTTATGACAAAGAAATAAAATAAATCATGAGACTCTATGATTTTGATATATATTGGTGTTTTAATTCTATTTAATGTAAATGTTGCATAACAAATATGCTATGAACATTTTGAACTTTGCCATATGATCTTTCTATTTATTTTCTGAATATATTCACGGAAGTTAGAATTGGCGTTGGCATAATAAACATAGACAATATAAAGAGTTCCGTTAAAAAAAAGACATTAAAGTTTTTTTCTTTCTTATGTATGATTAAGAACCATGAAAATGTTTTTTTCAAAAAGATAAATGTTTTCCTGTTTCTTGTAGTTCTATTGTGTTTACTTTCTCTCTATTTTCTCTTAGCAATTTTTTTTCGATAAATTATATATATATAAGTCAAAATATATTTAGAAGCATGTAAAAGACATAATATTCTTACGGGCAAATTTTAATTTGTGTTGATCAAGCGCGGGTAACGCAGAACATGTAAGGTTTCATTTTCATTTTTTAATGATGAAAACCAATAAGAAAAGACTTTAATTTTTAGTGTGCTAGTTCACAGTATTCACCAATTAGTAATACAGTATCATGATCAATAGTTACATTCCCTTATGCCTAATAGCACTGGTTGCTACCATACAAACAGTATCAACAATAGATGATAATAATAACACCAATGAAAATAACAGCAGTATTAATGATATCAATAAAGGCTTCTTAATAAATAATAAACAACAAGATGATCAACATGATAAAGCAAAAAACGTACGTGCTGTTCATCATATAATTGATGGTAAACTACATCGTATTAAAGCAGCCGATGTTGTTTATCGTCAACGTTTACGTGATGACCAATGTGTAGTTGAATATGGGGGTCAATATTTAACTGAAAAAAGCGTTATTCAAATTCGAAAAAAACTTTATCGAGTAGAAGATTGTTTATTGGAAAGAGTATTTCATGCCTGTGGTCCAAATTTATTATTAATGTTAAATCTTGTTTGTCGCGTTGTTGAACAACATCAAACAACAACAACAACACCAGTACCAAGTATTCGGCAACGAACTACTCCAACATCACCACTATTCTTTCGTCGAATATATCCACCAATTGACAGAATGCCAAGAGCAAATAGAGTATCACGAGTGATTACAGAATCATGTTGTGAAAGTCTATGCTCTCTTTCTGAATTAACGAGATATTGTCATCGTTAAGATTCTCATAAAATGAAAGTCGATCGAACTTTTGCGATTGTTGCCGCTGTATGTAACGCGCTGTTTTAACTCGCGGGTCGAATAAAAGAAATACGAAAAATTTGTTTACTTGAGTACTTTTTTTTTCCTAATAGGTCTTAACCTTTGAATAAAAAGCATCGACAATAAACATTTAAAAAATTCTAATGTTATTATTGCAGCCGAACCAGTACTTCATTTGAAAATAAAAAGAAATCTCTGAACGTTTTCATAAAAATTAGGAAATCACTTATGTAATAGTGTGGAATATGTTATCGACGTTAATTCCTTAGTATATATCAAAGCACGTAAAAAAAAAGAACTCTAAAAAATGATACTACTCATTCATGATTTGTCAATGTAAAAATTCCTTTACTAGTATTTTTTTTTTGTTACATATATAAATTAAATTTAAAGTGAAAGGTTGACGTATTTTGAAAAAGTTTATCTAAATTTATTAATGATTAGATCTATAAAACATGATTTTTCTTAAAAATATATAATGAATAGTTGTTCAAAATCAATCATAATGTCCTTAATCATTTAATGATGTAGATGATTAAGAAAAAAGAAGGAATATCTTGTTTACCATATGACATAGAGTAATCTAACAACACATAGTTTGTTTTTTTTTTCTTTCTTTAAACAAATAGATATTAAAAGTGTTTAATTATTGTATAAGAACTGATTTTTGAGACATGACATACTTTTTTTTATATGTAACACATATGAATAATCAATTTTAAAGTAAACCTATGCAGTTGCCTGAATAATGATGTAATGAATTCAATGATTTTATGCGATGCATGATATTTCCATGGAAAAAATCAATTTCAAATCTTTATATAGACTAAATCTTAGATGATATTCATAAAATGAATGATAGTTTCAACACAATATGACTTCTTTTCTATTAAACTCTCCATATACATACAGGTTAAAAATAGAAAAGACGTTCATGATAATTATCTGAAATGCAGTCGCAAACTCTTTAATAGGATATAAAGAAAGGGTCGCTTTTGATTTGTGCAGAATTATTCTTTCAAAATACATCATTAAGAAATATGAACTAAAGATTTTCTGCAACTATGAATCTAGAAAGTATGGTGAACAAAAAAAAGGAGTGATGTAATATTCTCAATCAAACAAACATCTCCAAATAAGACTTCAATTATCAATATGATAAAAAATTGACATATATTTTGCTAAGATCTATTTAATACCATTATTTTTTTCTTTTCAGCAAATATTTTTACCAGATGATAGCATAGAAAACGACCGAATTTTAATAGAAACAACATCATGTTCATTATTTGTTGGCTTCTACGAAATGGTATTTTGCACTTTTCACTCGTGTCAATTATATTGAGTTACCTCTTCTTTATTCTTGTACTGTGAAACATTATCCATAATGTTAATGTACTTTACCTGAGAACATCGTCATAAGAATATTATGAAATAAAAACGAAACATCAGACACTTGTGCTCACATATTAATAGATATAGGCATGAATTACTAATGCTAAATCAGATATATGTTATAATTAGTATGAGATGTATTATGTGATTTTTATTTTTAGAAGTATTTTACTGATTAAAATTGTTTTATATTCTTATAAGTCATGCATTAAAATTAATACGAAAAGTTGGTTTTCTATTCAGGAATCATACAGAGAGAACAAGAGTTTGAAATTATCTAAGAACAAATTCTTTTTTTTTTAATCTTTTTTACATAATAGAAAGAAAACCTATGCATCCATCATTCAGATTATACTGTCATTTCGACTTTTATTTTAAAAAATCAAAGATATTTTCTCACTATTTAAAAACTTATTACAGACTTATGTAATGACTACTATTGTCTTCTGACGTGGCAAATAATGAAATTGGTTTTTATAGAGAAATACATGAAAATCATTGCATTAAGTTTTACTTTTATATCAAATATACAGAAAGTGAATTCCGACGATATGTAAATTGATATCTATTAAATATAAACATTTGATAATTATACGTTACAACATCTGTTACATAATAAAACTTTATGAATTTATTCGAATATTAAATACACTAGAAAACATTTTTAGACCAAATAGAAGAGTAATTATTATTTGAAGTGAAACATGAAAAACCAAAATAAAAACAAAAGCAATTGCCTTTTGTATTTCATTATTTATTAGTTATTCTAAGCTCGGTATAAAGGAAATTTCTGTAGTGTTTTGATGATAAGTAATTTTTACCCATAGCAGAATTGAATGATGAAGAAAGGAAATGTTAATTATCATTTTAAAATAATATTTCCGGAAAGCAATTGGTTGACATATTTGTTTGCAATTAATGTTATCCAAATATGTTAAATAAAAACGATTGTATTTACAACGTCGAATATTATGTTATGTTGACATTTGTAAAACATCAATCACTTATTTTGTTTTTCTTGTACCTACATTTTTGTATGACTTATTCTAAATATTATATTTAACATTATTCAAACAAAAAATACATGTTCTTTTTGACGAACAAAATTTTTAAGAAAAATTTTAAGAAAATCACATTGTCATATCAATCATGAAAGGTCTTCCTAATCTGAAGTAATAGTTTTGTCTAATATAATTTTCTATACTATAAATTTACAAAATAACGATTATTTAAAATGTATTTTCGAGGTATGCTCAGATTTCCGAAAAAGGAAATTACAAATTTCCGAAGCTTCCATCAACTCGATAACTACATAGCAAAGCAAATGAAAATATTTTGGAAATATTGGAAAGTTTAGAAATTTTAGAATTTTCTGTAATTTCGGAAATTTCGCTATGTATAGAATTTTGGAAATTTCGGAAATTTCGGAAATTATATAATTTTGAGAAGTATCACACGATTTAGAACACAAGTGCTTGAAATTTCCAAAACTTCCGAAATTTTCTTTTTCAGAAGTCTGAACACTGCTGGTATTTTCACATTTCATGTGTACATTATTCAATTAGTTTCTTATTAATTTTTTATGAAAAGTAACTCATATAACATTATAAATGTCCTGTATCATGTAGCATACTAAGATGTTTTCTTAAACTTCACCGACAAAGATGCGTCTGTTTCTATTTTGCATGCTTTTAGCAGTAAACTCGTAGAGAAGCTTCATAGAGAAAAAAAAACGATTCATTATTAAAGAACCTAGTTTTCTTTCACAGTAAACTTGTGTTACATGGTAGAAAACGAGATTTATTAGTAAACGGACGTCTTGTTTATTACTTCCGATCGTTATGATAACATGAACAAAGCTCAGCATTAAACGAAACCACAAAAGAAGTAGTATTAGGAAACCACTTCTGGAAGTTAGTATGAGTGTTGATGCATACATAGTCA